TGACATTACAAAAAGCAAATCAAAGCAAGGCATGAAGGCATATTCTCTGCATGGAAACAAAAGTGTTTTGTTATTGCCTTTAAGCTAGACGCCCACAAAAGAGCCCAATAAAGGGTAGCTGAGCCTAGTGAAGCGAATGCATGTTAGTCAGAGAATGAGTTTCTATACCCTTTTTCAATGTAGCTTTTTCTGTTGTATTTAATGGATACCATTACAGAATGACCACAGAATGACCCCACAAGGGAGCAGTTCAAATTGATGTGTTTGTGTGGAATTCCTAAAGCTTAGTGCCTGATGTTTCTGTACATATATAAACATTTATATGCATTCTGTTTACACTGAGAGTGAAACTCCCTGACTCTCAGTGTTTCATTAGCTAAGAAATCCAACCAAATCTGAGTTTAAGCGAGTAAATCACAGGAATATAAACCAAATCCACAGTGTCAAAAACTGTTCAACGGCTCCTCCGTTAATATTTCTTATTCTCCATCTACTGAATCAGCACTGCTACATTTCCCATCTGCTTCTCAGAGTGCGGAGCATGAAATCGCAGAAGTAAGGCTCTTTCCTCAACAGCCCAGCCTCATCAGAGCAGAGCAAGTTAAGCTTGGATGTTTAGCCTGCTCAGCTTTAACAGTGAACCTTTTACTGTTCGCACTTGCACTCTGCAGGCTGGCACTTTTAAAAGAGATTATGTACTTAATACTACTGAGGGGGCAAAGGCCAAACTGAAGCAATGACAAGGATTTTGCAACAATCAGAATCAGAATCATTGTTTGTTTGTCTTGCAAAACTGTGCGAGCGTTCACATGTTTTATAAGAATGAATAAGCAGTCTCAATGACACTTTTTCTCACACAGAAAAACAAACAGTAAGCTACTTTGTTATGCTGGAATGCAGAATAAAGGCATTTCAAAGGGCTTTCTTCAGAAACTTGACACAAGACCATTATGAGTCTCTTGATATATAACTGGGAATCTGTGGTAAACACTGGGAAAACAGAGTTTGTGTTTTGTATTACTTTAGTATTCTAATCAGCTCTGAGGCAAAACCTTTGATTAAAGAAGATGTGTCATGTATTTATTGCTTAATTAATACTCAGTTATAACTATTTATGATGCTCACATCAGTAACTGAAAGGGTAACCAAATACTTATCTATGAGACAATAACATAATAATAAAATAAAAAACTTTTGTAGACCGCAAAGATTATTACCAAACTAATCACTTACGAAAGACGTCAAATGCCAAGTTCAACTGGCATTACAAATATGAGCAATGTAATCAACAAGTCACAGTTGGAGCTGAGTGCCAAGGAAAAGTGCGTCAGCGGAGGACTTTTGAGCAGAGATAAATGGTTGGCCAAAAGTCACACACACAGCTGTCTCAAAGTCACCTTTCTGTATTCAAAACAACTCTTTAAATCTGAAATGGTAAGAAACCCAGGGAGATGCAGTTACCACCAAGAATTATCCTAGCATCCTCCCCCAGAGTCAAAGACAGCAGTGGAAAGTATGCCAAGGACAGCTGAATTCGCTGTAGTGGTCTGCTATGACTCAAAGGATATCTCAGGGGAACAGAAAACTCACGGTCTTCTATGAAGCAGCTGGTCAGCCATCATCCTTCTTTCTGCTTGGCCCAAATATCCTCATTCTTAGACATCACCAAAATTCCCCAAAGTATAAAAGCAAACAACGTCATTGTGAACACAGTATGACTTAAACATCCCTGTAGATGAGCCAAAGAAACACATATTTCACTAATATTCTTTTATCACATGTGTGTTTCTTAATTCTGATGTACCTTTAGTGCGAACAAAGATATATAAAGGTAATATGTGAGCATGAGTGTCCTGAATCACACCAACCTACCCACTAAAAAAGACACCTCCAAACCAAGTCACTCCAAAAAAGGTAACTTTATTTAAAAAAACAACCCAATAGTTAACCAGCTATGATTCATTCAGGATCTAGTGATAAACGACACCCATTAAAGCTATTTGTGTTTTATTATTATTATTCTTTTCCACTTATTTATAGAGCACACCTAATAACCAGGTCACTAATACACAAAAATTTGTGGGGGCAGCAAATAAAATAATGACAACCGTCAGCACCGCGGATGTGGGGCAAACGCGTTTAAACCAAAGGGAGCTGCAATACTACTGCGTAACAGTACAACGATTCAACCTACAACAGTAACAATGACTTTATACTATGCACGCAGGACGAGGAGGAAAGAAAACGTCCCCGCCCCTCCTTCTTGACATCAGCCCCACATAATTTGGCAAATGGGGTAAAACGAAAAATGCCGCAAACACAGCAGACCGAAAGTTTAATTACACACTAAAGTAAAGGCCACGACACGATACGTTATCTGCCAAACGTAACCGCAGATTATTGCTGCGCAAACACACGCTAGGCTTTCAGCGCTTGCAGTGTTTATAAACACGACCAGCTAACGGTAACGTTGGCCGAAGCTAGCCGGGCATAGCGTTAAAATGGACTGACGTTAGCCCTACCAGCTAACACTTTCCTGCATTTTGCGAGGCAACCGCGACAGTTACCGGATATTATTTAAACCCCATTTTTTGAACACCGAACCCTTCACCTGTTCCCCACAAAACACACAGTAAATATAACTCAAATTGTTCACCTTCCAACAGCCGAGAGATGAGGCTATCCACGTTCAATTCACCCTCCGCCATCTTCACACTGCTGTTGTACGTACAGTGTTGGCCGCTTCAGTTCCCCCAGCCGACACCAGGGGGGGTTGTTGCTCACAAACCGGTTGCCAAAGACCTTGACCAGGGAGCAGATTAGTGAATAATCCACTTTATTTTTTATTTTTTTACCTCCTTTATATACACCCACCATCTACTATAACTATACAAAAATATTAATAAAATTACAATTGTTTAAATAGGAATTGGGATGAAATCTAAAAACGTACGAAAAGTATGAAAGGTACAGTAGCATGTTCAAGGTTCAAGGTTCTTTATTTGTCACATGCATAGTTATACAAGTATAACACACAGTGAAATGTAGCCTGACACGCTCCTCGACATGTGCAAAAATGGGGGGGGGGGGGGTAGAGGAAGAACATTATATATATATATATATATAGTATATACATTGGGTGAATGTGCAGTAGTAGCAGCAAGCAGGCGAATTTTGTACATTAATATGAATAGACATCTGACTATTTTACAGGATAGACAATATAAACATATTTAAAATTAAAGGAATTTGGAATGTACATTGTTCCTTGGTTTAGAGTGTCTGGAAGAGAATCTTGTCTCAGTCAATTATAGATGATGTGAGAGGGCGGGTGTGTGTGTTTAGGGCCCGGATGGCTTGGGGATAGAAGCTCCTCTTGAGTCTCTCTGTCCTTGCCTGGATGATGCGGAAACTTCTACCAGATTGCAGAAGTTTGTTGCCAGGATGGGACGGGTCCTTCAGTATCTGCGCTGCTCTAGTCCGGCATCTCCTGGTGTAGGTGTCCTGGAGCGGGGGGAGAGCAATCCTGCAGCAGCGTTCTGCTTTACGGATCACTCTCTGGAGAGCTTTTTGGTCCTTCACACAGCTGTTCCCAAACCACGATGTCATGTTCTGTGTGAGGATGCTCTCCACAGCGCCTGTATAGAAAATCCTGAGGATCTTTGGAGAGACCCTGAACTTCCTCAGTTGTCGTAGGTGATACAGGCGCTGCCTAGCCTTTTTGGTCTGGACCTGAATGTGGGCAGCCCATGTCAAGTCTGAGGAGATGTGCAGTCCTTTAAGATACTTGAAGGACTGCACCCTCTCCACTTGATGATGATAATGGGCTTGTAGTCTCTGTGCTGACCCCTTCTGAAGTCCACCACCAGCTCTTTGGTCTTGCCGACGTTCAGCTGGAGGTGGTTGTCCTGGCACTATGATGCCAGATTCTTCACTTCATCCATGTAGGCCGCCTCATCGTTGTTGGAGATGGCACCCAACACCACTGTGTCGTCAGCAAACTTCACAATGGTGTTGGAGCCATGGGTGGCCACACAGTCTGAAGTGTAGAGGGAGTAGAGCAGTGGCGAGAGGACACATCCCTGAGGTGCTCCTGTGTTGATGGTGATGCTGTTAGAGACGCATCCACCCAATGTAGATGTGTAAGCAGCCACCCCTGTATAGACTTGCTACATTATTACTGATTCAAAAAACAAACAAAGTAAAGGTTACATCAGGTTACACATAGTAAACTGATCTGGTTTGTAATTATGTCTGCAATGTGTCAAAATAAATACGTATGTAAGTGGCGTAAAGTATAGAAGAAGAAGAAGAAGAAGAAGAAAGTGTACTTTATTGGTCCCCGTGGGGAAAATCCCTCTCTGCATTTAACCCATTCACTCAGTGAAGCAGTGGGCAGCCACTGGGCGCCCGGGGAGCAGTGTGTAGGGACGGTACCTTGCTCAGGGGTACCTCAGGGTAGCTGTTCAGGGGAATCGTATTTCAGGGGAATAGTATTTCAGCTTGTGCTGAATGAAGGGGGAAACCGCAGAAAATGTTTCTCAATGCTTGAGTAAATGTACTTTTCACCCTGTCACAAGTTTGTGACATAATCAACAGAAGCTGTCGGCATATTTCATCACTCTAAAGGGATCATAAACCATTCCTGTGTATATTTTATCAGCAGGCTCGGCCTTTGGAGGTAATAATCAACCTAACCAGCTGGAGCATTAGTAGTTTCTGTTTTGCAGTGCTTTTTCTGCACAAACAAGTGTATTAAGCTGGGTCAGGATTGAGCAGTCACACTACAGTACACTGTTTCATGAATTATTGCCAATTAACCCTCCATTTCCCACCACCCACACCATACAGTCCCACTAGTATTTGTCTCAAAATGAAAACACATTACAAGTATACACAAAATTACCACAGAAACTTAATTCAGTGTTTATTTTACTGCATATATTTATATATACATAGACATATGTATTTAAGTTACAACATTAATTTATCAAAGCAAACAGGATCATATATAACATTGTACAGTTTTGAAAAACAGCCTCATTGTCAATGTTTGAGTAGCTCTTTATCCCCCCCCCCCTTCCCCCCCTAGTTAGTCCCATGAAAAAACATAACAAAGTTAAAATTCTGTGCCCTTCATCTGCCCCGAAGTCATCATCTTCTTCTTGTTCTTCCTGGCTTTGTAGGAGAAGAGGAGCCAGGTGACAGCTGAACCAATCAGAAGGCCAACAACCGCCAGCACAGCAGCGAGCCATGCTTGCACAGTGTTAGGACACTTTGGATTGCCCGAGGCTTGTGGTGTGATGTCAGTTATGGGTGGTGTGGCTGTGACTGCAGGAGCCACACTGTTTATCTTTGTGAAGATGTAAGGATGTTCCTGGAACATATAAATAGGATGTCAAAGTTCAATTCCATAAACCTGTAAGAAAGCTGCAATAAGAAGTGCTCCTGCAGCTGATTCCTTACCTCAGTGGGACACTTGATTCTGTCTCTGCCATTTGAAAAGGCGTTATACGTCTGTTTTTCCCCAACTGGTTCCATCTAGAGACAAAACCACAAATGCATGTCTGTTCAGCATAAATTGCAGGGAGATGTTGTAATTATAAAGGCAAACAGTTATCCCTTTACTACCCATATTAAAAGACTCACCATGTTATTCCACACAGCTACAGCCATGTCAGCATGTCCCCGTTCACTGAAGTGGAAACAGTCCTGGGAGAAGTATGTGACATCAGGTTGGCCTTCCTGCACGAGGGAAAACACACAATCATCCCTGTTTGTGGGTAAAATGCATCCTGAGCACTGACAGACGTGTTACTGTCCGCAAACTAAATGTTTACATATAAATACATCTAGAGCGTAGTGGAGGGTGATGCGCACACGGAAGACTTACAGCATTGAAAGGTAAGATGGTGCTTTTAAAAAAAGGCTGGAGAACCACAGCAAAATCCTCTTTGTCGTCATAGCGACCTCCATCCAACAATTTTTCGGTTTCAGTCTGGGAGTAACAGATGGCTGATGTTATTAAGGTAATGTAACAATCCTGATTCATCAACACTTGTTCAGAATCAAACATTTTACTATCAAGGCTCCAGCCTGCTAACCTGGTATTCCCGATTGATTCGTTTTGCTTCTGCCAGCTCTGGTGAATTCTCTCCCGGGTCCAAGAAGCATCGGCAGACAAACCTGGGGATACACAGGGAAAAATCACTGATTTGTTATTCATTCTGGTATGAGGCAGTTGTGTCATACAATACAAATTATATCTGATATTCTAGTTTTTCTCAATAGACAGTGCAATGAAGAGGAGGGGATCTACAGGAAAGGGCCTCAGGTCGGAGAACCTCGGCTGTTGTATTTAGCCTTACAGCATATAGTCGCTTGCTCAATCTATCACCTAGACCTGATGTCTTATGACAGATTCCCTAGATATAGACGAGAAGTGATTTAGACTGCCTTGTAATCAATGGTCTTATTCATGAAAAGTTGCTTAGATTGATGAACATACTGTTGCACCACATTGCACCCTAGGGTGTCCTTATTGATCTTGCGAAGACCTTCAATTTCCAGGATCCCCAGCACGTTCACAATCGTCCTGGGAACCTACAATTAAAAAAAAAATCATAGAAGAGTGGAGCTAAAAAACTGGATGAACCCAAATATTTTTTTGGTTCAGAATCTCTTAAAGGTATCTTCACTTATGAGCTTACTATATAATATTATTCTTTTTACGTCAATAAAAATAGTCTCACCTCATTGTACAGCATGTCCAAGCTTGTCATCATATGATAGCTGTAGTTCTTAGGTGAGTGCATGGCCTGTAGTTTGGAGAGATGCAATCAATAAGGCTATTTATTAACACATGAACTTAGTTCAGTTCAGCCACGACTTTTTGCCCCACCCACCACACCCCATTAGTGTTTTCTTTTCTTTTTGTTGTAGCCAGCAGCATAATTAAGGCAGATATGAGGGGAATGTGGCCAAGTTTGAATCCACCAAGAGAGAGCCATGCAACATGTAAGAGCGCACTAGCAACAACTAACCCTAAGCTGTCACTACAGTCTCAGAGCTCATCTTAAATTGATGCTGCACTTTGATATTCTGCTTCAAAGCACAAACATTAAAAGAGAGACTACCCTGACAGTGGAGCTTGAGGGGTGTAATGGGAGAGGGGGTGTGGGGTGGGTTTAAAATGAGAAAGGAAAAAGCGGGAGCGAGCAAGACAGAGACAGGAAGAAGAGAGTCTCGGTTGACTTCTGTGTTGTTTATGCCTCTTAGAGAACAAGGCCTGTCACTGTGTTCTGTGTGCTTGTTCAACGCAGACATAGGCCGGGGTAGAGGAGGGAGGGGGTGATCTGTGTTGCAGGGCTAAAGCGACAGAATGTGCTTATTGAAAACAAACCATGTCTGCTCTCATCCCTGTCTGACACAATAAAACAATAAACGGGGGGGTGCTCACAAGGCTTAATTATTCTGCTCCAGTGCTTAGTTCCATTTGGGGAGTGATGATATCTCGAGAGGGCGTTTAACACCACTGGATGTTTAAGCACTACACTTGCAGAGGGAAATAATTTTTTCCCTTAGAAATGCCCTTCAAACCACATTTCCTGTGACGACTTAAAGCAACTCACCCGATCGTTGCAGTATTGACACAGGTCATTCCCTCCGATGAAGAGGGTCACAAGCTTCCAGTCGTTCTCAAAATCCACGGCCTAGTTTGATTGGTGGTGACAGATTCAGAGAGACAGGTTTAATTACATGTGTTTTCCCGCAGAAAACGTGGCAAGGCTTGAGACAAGGCTACATTAAAAATCACTTGGTAATGCATGTTAAACTCACTGGGTCCTCTTTCATGGCATCAATAAGGCTTCTGACCTGTGCAGGGATTTGTCTGCATGGAATTGCACATAATTAGCCCATGCAATGCTTCCAAGATAGCATAGTAATAAAGCCGTTTATATATCTGATAACACGTCAACGTCAGAACTCACGATATTTTAGCGCCCGATACGGCCACATTGAAACCAGCCTCCTTTTTTCCTGTCCCCTTTGACATTCCTTGGACATCAGGATTAAACTTCTTAAGGATATCTAAAGTATGTATTATAAAAAAGTTAGGGTACAGAGTTTACTCAGTTAAAGACAAAATACAATTTTTTGTCAGATTATTTCTGCCATCTAGTGGTGCTTATGTGCACTACAGTTCAACACAGGAGGTTTCTGACTTACTGGGTAATGTTGTGACAGTCTCAAGAGTATCATCACCTCCAATGCTAATAAAAAAAAATAGGCAAACAAAGAATGTGTGTTTAGAATGCAACGTTTATACTTTATAATGTGCAAAGTATTGTTTTGGTCTCTCACCTCCACGACACTCCTCTGTACTCAGTACTTAGCTCCACCAGACTTTGTGATTTAGCACCAAAGGCGGCCTACATTTGGGAAAAGGTGATTTTACAGCTGAATCATTAACAGAATTCCCCCGTTTCAACCACTCTCTCATTAAGTTGATATTACTCTATCTGTTTATACATTAACTGATTTATAGGTACCTAGAAAAGGTGTGATGTGACGTGTAACACTGTTATTACCATTATAAATTATTACAGATTAATCTACTCGCTATTGGTCCCAGAGACCAAAAAATGTGCCAGTGAGTATTTTTCAGCTCTTAAGTACTTGAAAACAAAGAAAATCCGTCCTTTAGACAGTAACTCTGTTACTTTGTCTATTAGTGACGTGATTTATGAAATATTACAGTATTAATGGGTTTTTCTGGCATTCAGTTTTTATTGTAGAAGCAAGTACGTTTGATTTATTTAGAAACTTTGAAATAAATTAGATTTGCAAGAACTGAGAACAAACAGAGAAGAAAAAACAAGACGCATAAACCACAGGCAGATAACTGCATAGCTGCCAAATAGTTGACTATGGCTGTGAGAGGCAAATGAAGGATTTGGATGAAAAACAGTGAGCGGAAAATTTTGGGAGTTATTTAGAGGATTTATTCAGTTATGACAAAATTTCAGTCACGCTCTTGAGCTTACCGTTAAAGAGTCTCCCAGAGCAGCCACTACCTTGATGTCTGCTGGTCGCACCTTGTGAGCTATTAAAAAAGTCAACATGAGTATATTTGACATGTAATCACTGTATTTCAGAACTGAATTATAACACAGGATGAGCACCTGAAGTGGGCACAGAGTTGGACGGTGCCGTGTTTGAACAGGAGAAGTCACTCCCCCAGTTCTGTAATATGATAAAGATATATTTCATAATTAAGACTCAATCATTTTCCATTGTGCATAATGTAAATAATAAATGTTTGCCACAAGTGTTTGGGGGGTATGAAACACCTAAATTATAACCTACCTGGACTGGAGCAGGAGTGGGTGGTGGGCCTGGAAAGGTGTAGCCGCTATTAACAGCCGTCCTAATGAATGGGACTGTCTGTATTTGGAAAGAAAAATGGAAAATAAAAAAAAAAAAAAAAGCTAATGAAAGCATAAAAGTAATAACATAATAATGCAAAATGTTGAGATTTAGATTCATTTTTACCTCAGAGGGACAAATCAAATCAACACCAGCTGTGAAGTTTTGTGTAGAAGTCTTGCTGCCCAGTGGCTCAAGCTAAAAGAGCATGAAAGTCGGTTACTTAGTATCAGAGAAGTTAAATAACAAAACAAAACAAAAAAACCCGCATGGAGAAAATTTTGATGTCATAATGGCTGTAGAAACTCCTACCATATTGTTCCACAGACCACGGGCCATGAGTGTGTGAGCTTTCTGGCTGAGATGAAAACAGTCAGGGGCAAAGTAAGAGCGATCGGGCCGGCCGTCCTTTTATAAAGAAGCCAAAGAAAGGAAGACTTTTTTTTTTTTCAAGTTAAACAAATTCCTAAATGAAAACAAAAATATTGTAAAAGTGTGGTGTTTCACATTTGTAAGACATTACCTGTAACTTGGGAAGAGAAAGCCCTCTAAGGAAGGGCTGCAGTATCACAGTGAAGTTACCATGCGTGTCATACCGCCCAGAGTCAACGAGCTGTTGCATGCCAACCTGAGAGGACAGACAGTCATAAGATGACCTCACAAGAATAAAAAGCAAATAAAGTTTTTGACTTTGCAGTGACAGTTATATTCAGTGGACAATGACATCATAATATCGCCCTCTTTAGCCTTTAAAAAGTCCACTTATTTGTTGTAGCAAGCTTTTAAACCTCAAGATAAATTCATTATGACCTCATGAAATTGTTTAAAATACAGAGGTGTCTTTAATTTTTAGTCATAATTATTCAGTTACTATACAATGCAGCTATTAAACCAAAGAAACAAAGAATCTGTTATTATAATTGAAATCTACTTTCATTCCTTAATAGACTGACTGTAGAGTCAGTCTATTTATGCCTTTGAAAATGCTGCTGTCAGGTTTAGTAAGCTTGAGAAATGTGTAATGCACATAAGAAAGCACAGAGAATTGTAATTATTTAGTTTATTTATTTTCTTTCTGTATTCATCTCTTATTTTATCACTTTACTCCAGAGCCATTATTGTAAGCAGTGGAGGAGTAAATTTTGTTTTTTTTCTTCAATTTTTTAAAATTGTACAATGACAAATAAAGGAACCCTGAACCTTGACATGTGGAAATTATGGAAAATCCTTCTTTTTAACTTCTTTCTCTTTCACACCTGGTAGCCTGTGTTGTAGGTCTCAAGCATCTCGAGTTCAGCTGATCCGTCTTTAGGACTCAGGGCACAGGAGCAAAACATACTGGAACATAAATGCACAGAGTGTCAATTAGTGCTTTACGATTTTTGGTCAAACTGTTTGTCCAACACAAGAAAATATTGCTTACTTTGCAAGCCAAGTTGGACACCCCAAAGTCGAATCACTGTGCAGATCACGTAGCTGTTTGACGCTAAACAGCTCTACCAGATTAACAACGGCACGAGGCACCTGGAAAGATTTCGACATTGAAAACATTCAGGGATACTGAATGGCTGTGGCAGCAAGGTGCAAGAAGATGAGAACATACTTCACGGTGGAGTATGTCTAGACCTTCACTGATCCGACGGACCACGTTCCTGGGTGAGTAATAGATCTGTAGGGGGGAAACAAAATCTCTATTACAAAAGATCCCAAGCATAAATGTGAAAAACAAATATCTGGTAAATTATTGAATTAGTTATTCCACTGAAACGTACAATTAAACTATTTTGATTATAATTTGAATGCCGAATAATTTCTTCTAGCTTCACTAATGCAGGAGTTGGCTATGATTACTTGTCTTTAATGATTATTTTGGACTGTTAATCAAGTAAAGCAAGCAACTTTTGAGGCTTTTGTCTCTGAAAGATTGTTATGATAATGAGGATAATTTTAAGTTGTCATTAAAATAATAAAATATTTTGGATGAACAACATGAAAAATATCTCTAAATTTGATTTCGACCAAAAATTGACATTTGAAATTTAAACTATATTTCTAACAGCTTTTTTTCTTCTAATTCAGCAGTTTATGGCAGTTCAATGGTATGAAACCGCCTGATTATGATGGCAAAGTAAGTAAGTACAATATATAAAACAACAAAGACAACATGTGGAGCGCTTACAGTGTCCTTGCAGTAGTCGCATATGTCATTTCCACCAATGAACATGGTGATAACTTTCCAGTCATTGTTGAAATCGATACGCTGGAGGACATAAGAGGTAAAGTTCTGTGTTTAATTTGTTCATTATTAACTTAAAGCTGTGACAAAATACACATGACACTGTGTCTGAATGTACACCCACCGGCCACTCTATTAGGTACACCTGTTCAACTGCTTGTTAAGACAAATATTTAATCAGCCAATCACATGGCAACAAATCAACATGTGGCCAAGGTGATCTAACTGAGTGTCAGAATGAGAAAGAAAGGTGATTTAAGTGGCTTTGAATGTGGTATAGTTGTTGGTGCCAGTTGGGCTGGTATGAGTATTTCAGAAGCTGCTGATCTACAGAGATTTTTACACACATCCACTACTAGTGTTAACAGAGAATGGTCCAATGAAGAGAAAATATGCCATGTTGATGCCAGAGATCAGAGGATAATGGCCGGACTGCTTTGAGATGATAGAAAAAGGAACTATAGCCACTTGTTACAACCAAGGTCTGCAGAAGAGCATCTCTGAATATACAACAAATCAAACCATGAAGCAAAAAGGGCTACAGCAGCATCAAAAGATCTCACAAAGTGCCACTCTTGTCAGCTAAGAACAGGAAACGAATGCTAATGCTTTATGAAAACATGGATCCATTCTGCCTGGTATCGACAGTCTTGGCATTTTCTTGGGTCGGCTTGTGCTCCAATCCAATAAACCATCTTTGTGATGTGGTCGAGCAAGAGATCATGGATCATGGATGTAAACCAGACAACTCATGATGCTGTCAATATGGAGCAAAATCTCTGAGGAGTGTTTCCAGCATCTTGTTGAATTCATGCCACACAGAAATAAGGCAGCTCTGTTGGGAAAAAGAGGTCCAACCTGTACTAGGAAGGTGTACCTAATAAAGTCCCCAGTATGCATATTTCTCCTGCAGTTATTGCTGACTTACCGAATCGCTTTTCATTTTGTCCACTAGGATGCGCGCCTGTCCTGCCATGTCACTAGAAATAGCAACAAATGTTATCTTTAAAACTTGCTGATTATGTTTTTTTCGTATAGCATGCTGCAAATCCTGCTAAGGTTGAAAGTAAGTACAAATGTGACTTACTCGCTCTTTGCTCCTGGAACAGCCTGATTGAGAAAGGCTTTAGCATCGTTCTGTCCACTGATTCCTGTAGAGAATCCAGTCAGGGAGGGGGAAAACTCCCTCAGGATGTCTGAAAAAATGATTAGAAGTTAAAAAAAAAAACAACCCTCAAATAATGATTTAATTGTTATACTCTTATATTGTAATTTAGTCATTGTGACAGCATTTAGATTTCTTAAGTATACAAAAGTGCCCTTTCATTTTAGCAGCCAAACTCATTTTGTTGATTCAGGTCATTAGATTGCATAAAAGATAGGCCTGTTCAAGCCTATATCCTTTAGTGATGGTGATGAGAACCACAATTTAGTTTAATAAGTGAAATACAACTACCATTTTTTCAACTTCAAAAACATGAGTGCAAAATAGAGACATACTGGCCAGAGTTGTCACAGTGGTTATGTTTTGGTCACCACCAACGCTGAAAGTTGCAGAAATTTAGTTAGTTTTATAAAGTAACTCTTCCAAAATGTAAACAAATTTGTATTTTAACTTGTCTTACCTCCATGACAATCCTCTGTACTGATTAAGCAGTAACAACAAGTTATCTGATTTTGCACCTACGCCATTGGCCGCCTGCAGGAAACATCAGATGCAAGACAATAAAAAGCCGGGCTAATAAAACCCAAAGGAATGAATTGGTTGGTCCTGCAAGGTACTATACCATAGGTGTTAAACATATGGCTCCTGGGCCACAACTAGCCTGCCTTGCATCCTATTCTACCCCAAATGTATAAAGATTGCAGAGAAGTCATTAATAACTGCAATTTTTCAAGAAATTCCAACGTGATTACAAAAAATTGTAAAAGTATGACAGTAAAAAAGTTAAAAACATAAAATCATAAAATACTTTTATGATTGTTTACTTCTAAAATATTTTTTAATGAAGGTTTTATGCCTTTTTAGATCTAGTGGGTCTGTAAATTAAGTGCAAATGAGAGATAGAGTTAATTATTTTTCTTAAGAATCAGACTGCTCACCCTTTCCTACCTTTGAAATTATTTGTTTATTAAATTTTAATGTTTTTGAAAATTATTAGTATTATCATTATTATCATTACCAGTAGTAGTAGCAGTAGTATTATTGATTTTACTGTTTGGACTCCCATTAGATGAAATTGGGCTGTAGGAGAAGGGAAACACTCACTGTTAGAGAGTCACCAAGCGCTGCCACCACCTTGATGTCTCCAGGTTTGAGCTCATTAACTGTACAGTGGAAAGAACAATGTGACTGAGCATGACTGGACTGAGAAACATATCCCTCAGTGTAGTAGTGGAATTTAAAAATCATTTCTCACCCGATGTGGGTACGGTGTTAGACGGGTTACGGTCTGTGCAAGGTATCTCGGTACCCATCTCCTAAAAAAATATACTCAGGTCAGTTTATCTACAGATTTAAATTATCTTCTTTACTTTATTTCTTTCTTTTCTTTCTTCTTCTTCTTTTTTTTTTTACATATCTGACTCTTACTTGAACTGCTGCTTTGTTGTAAAATTCCCCCACTGTTTCAGGAGGGGAATTAATCTGTGTACGCAGGAAAGGACGCTCCTGGGATGAGAACAGAAAATTCACAGTTTTAACAGTTTAACATTGAATTTTATAACTTAAAAAGTCTACTCTATGAGATGAAAGCATAACACATTAACACTTCAAAGGCATTTTTCAATAGACTGCAGTGACTCACCTGGTTAGGGCAAGGAAAAGTTATGGCATTTCTGTCTGTAACCTTGGGCTCACTTGTCAGTGGCTGAAGCTGGAGAAGAAAAGGTCAATGAGTGGTTAAGATTTGGGGTTATATGTGCAGCTATTTTGCATCCAGCAGCCTACAAAGTACAATCCACTCATCTGTGCATTCAGAGTGAACAACATTGAGAGGAATCATCGTGTAGATAATCCCGTGAAGTAAATCATTAAATCTTTTGTCAGGCATATTAACACTTTAATCTGTGTTTAATCTGACACTTGTTATTTCTGGCCTTTAAATTGAAGGGATGGTTTTAATGTCAGAATAAAATGAATTTCTAGAAGTCTGCTGCTCTTTCACACTGCCTATTTTCATTTTATACATTTTCCTTTTTGCATCTAAGTGTGGTTTAAGAACTTACCAGGTTTGTCCAGAGTTGAATAGTCAACTGGTCAAGGCTAGACTGTGTGGAAGCACATTACATATGCAAGGTACACATTAGTCAGCAATATTTGATGAGTTGTTAATAAAGGAAAGATTATGCAACGTAGCTGATAGGAACAATGTTACTTACAGAGTCTGATTGGGGGTCAAGGATAGTGGGGGCTGAATGCAACATAACAGTGAAGTCTGCACCGTTGTTATTCCACTTTGGATTTTTGAAGACATGGCTCAGAGTATCCTGAAAACAAATCCCAAATAAAATAGTCAGTTAGGCAGGAAAATATGTCAGAGAGAAAAAAAAAAGGATGCACAGAAAATGCATTTATTTACAAGTAGTTTACCTGCAGTGCTTTCAGGAGAGTTGCTTTATATAGGCGTTTGGCATTACACTCACACGTGCTACAAAATTAAAAACAATCCTATAACTGTACATGCATAACACAGAACAGACTTGAAACATGTTTTACATGAGTTTTTAACACGTTGCTTTTGGTAGATTTTTATGGGAAACACTCACTTATCTTGCTGATGATATCCACTCCAGGTGACCACATGAACTAAAGTACGATGCAGCTGTAAGCATACACCCAGAGTGTTATTTTTGATTGCCAATCCATATGTTCATGGAAAAACTGAATCCAAAAAAAGGACCATACCCGTTTCTGCAGTATCTGCAGAGCTGCTTCCACTTCTTGCACTGCAGCCTCAATATCTTCTTCAACCTGAAGAACAAAGAAATGGCAACATTTTGTATTTTTTCCTTTTCGTCACATGCGGCACCAAAAATAGAGCCTCAGCAGAAATTAAACAAGAGATCTTACATGTGACGAACAGGCACATATGAAATCTGCAGGCACAAACAGCAGCACAAGCTTCCAGTCTTCCACCTGAAAGGACATGCAGTATAATGTATGAGTGTCTAAGTTATTTCTTTTTCATGCACACTTTGTTAGATTTGATTTTCTTGGATAACACAGTGCGCCTCAGTTGGGCGAATGCTTGCAGTTTATGAACTTAACCTGTCATTGTTCACATCTACCCAGAGAAAACGTAACAGTTTCCATCAATCTCACGTTGACTTTCTGTTTCTGTTTGATGCTTTTGTTCATTCCTCTCGTTGTGCTTCATAGGATTTTATATATGACTGATTTTCACTCATGCGTTAAAATGTCTTAAATTAAAGTGGCCTCATTTATCAATACGTTTTTATGCCTGTGAAGCTCTTTGAACCTCTGTATGTGATATTGGTTATAAAAATGAAACTTAAAATTAATTAATAACTGTGGCATTTCACCACCAGAGACATTCCTGAATAACCATGACTGGGGGATTTAAATTAGTTAGTGATTATGGGAGTACCCAAGCACACCATGTCTCCTTGTTGAGATATCAAGCTGAGATTGATGTTTTAGTGAAAGTATCCTGTCATCTGTTTCATTTGTATTTATGTATATGCCATTGTTTTAATAGTGGATAAGCTCATTCACTGTAAAGATCACAGAAACATTCAGATGTTTAAAATGCATAAATTAATATGACAGGGGTTAATTCTACCTGATGTGAAAGGGAGAGTGAAAGATCCTCGGCTTCTTCCAGTAAACTCCTGCAAACACAGAAACTCTCATGTAAAGAACCCTGCATCTGTCTTCTTAAACAGTATTTATCTGTAAAATGGGCATAATGTGTTTTACCTGGACTGTGATGAGCTCTGAGCTGATTGTTGAGCAATCACCGTGGGGTTAAACATGGACAGCAACTCTATTCAAACCACAAAGACATTACAGTGAAGACTGTGGTAGGCGTTAACACACAATAATAATGTACAGACAATGTACATTATGACATAGATGATAACTGACGATAAAAAGAAAGCTTGCTTTCTTTTATGTTCATGTGAAATCAGGGTCACTAACCAATGTTTATGGCCCCTATCTTATCCTTACAGATAAAGGAAACTATATGTTTATTAACCCTGACCTTGAACTGAACTATTAACTGTAAAAGTACATAAAACATAATCACAAAGGCCTTAATGATTTGATAAGCATTTTTTAAAAAAGCTTTAATCCACTTGAAGTTGGCAGTGAAAGGTGAAATGATAAAGCAGGTTTATAGTGGTTAACTAAAACAAGTCAAGTCAAGTCAAGTCAAGTTTATTTATAGAGCACATTTAAAAACAACCAAGGCTGACCAAAGTGCTGTACAGTAAATACAGATAAAAATACAATAGAACACAATTTCGTAATAACACCTCGCTGATAAAAATAAAATAAAAATATATAAAACAAATAAATTAAACCTTTCTAAAAGCCAATGAAAAGAGGTGAGTTTTAAGAGCGGTTTTAAAAGTTTCTAGGCTTTTGGAGAGTCTGACGTGAGGAGGTAAACTGTTCCACATCTGGGTGCAGCCACAGCAAACGCCCTCTCTCCCTTTGTCTTTAATTTATACCTGGGAACATCTAAAAGCATCAGGTCGGCTGACCTCAAAGATCTCCTGGGGCGATAAGTACTAAGGAGTTCTGACAGGTAAGAAGGTGCAGTGCCATTTAAAACCTTAAAAGCCAGCAATAAGATTTTAAAATCAATCCTAAAGGCAACTGGGAGCCAGTGGAGAGAGCAGAGAACCGGAGTGATGTGGTCTCTTTTTTTTGAACCTGTCAACAGGCGAGCGGCAGCGTTCTGCACCAGTTGAAGGCGATGTAGACAGGAACGATCTAGGCCAGCATAGAGGGAATTGCAGTAGTCTAGCCGTGAAGTAATAAAAGCATGGACCACTCTTTCTAGATCGTTCCTGCAAAGGTAAGACTTGACTTTGGCTAAAATCCGCAAATGATAAAAAGATCCCTTAACTACAGAGCTAATTTGTTTATCAAGTTTAAAAGCATTGTCAAAAATAACACCAAGACTCTTAATGGAAGAAGTGCAATCGGAGGTTAGGGGTCCCAAAAAGTCAAGAGAGAAGTTGGGATCTTTAGGAAGCCCAAACACAATGACTTCAGTTTTGCTTTCATTAAGGTGTAAGAAGTTAAGAGTCATCCAAGTCTTAATGTCAGACAAGCAGGAGAGTAGCGGTTGCAAAGAAACATTGCAGTTCAACCTCAGAGGGAGGTAGATCTGAATATCATCGGCAAAGATGTGGAAGGACACATTATGTTTACGGAGCACATCGCCCAGAGGGAGCAAGTACAGAATAAACAACAGGGGGCCTAGTATGGACCCCTGAGGTACGCCACAGGTTAAAGGAGCTCTGGGAGATGACAGTTCACCAAGGTGAACAGAAAAACTCCTATTATTCAAATAGGACTGGAAAAACTTTAAGACAGTGCCCTTTAAACCGACACAATGTTGAAGGCGGGATAGCAGTATGTTGTGATCAACAGTGTCGAAGGCTGCTGTCAGGTCCAGGGTTACTAAGACAGCAGCACAACCAGAGTCAACAGTTAAAAGCAAATCATTAAAAACTCTCAGAAGGGCGGTTTCTGTGCTATGCCGAGCTCTAAAACCAGACTGGAACTTCTCATAGAGATTGTTATTGTCAAGAAATAGCTGGAGCTGCGTGAGGGCGGCTCGTTCCAGTACTTTAGACAGAAAAGGGAGGTTGGAAATGGGCCTATAGTTAGAGAGTAGGGATGGATCTAGATTAGGCTTTTTAAGGAGAGGTTGAACAACAGCGTGCTTGAAGGGTGTTGGAAAACAACCAGAACTGAGGCAGGCATTGATCAGGACCAGAAGGAAAGGTCCGACTGAGTCCAGAACCTGCTTCAGAAGCCGAGAGGGGATAGCATCGGTGGAACAGTTGGTAGAACAAGATTAATGGTCAAGTTCTAGGCCTGATAACATAATAGGAGATTTAAATGATATAATAATAATTAGTTGGGAAATTATTAACTTTGAAACCATGAAACCGAAGTTCAGTCATAAAGTAACAAAGTATTTTGGGAAAACAGTTTTGTGATTACAAATACTACATGTAAAAGTAATTTCAAAGGTTAACAGTTGATAACCAATGTGATTATTTATATTAGATTGCATTGTACATTTTTCATTTTATACATTCATCTCTTGATATTTGAAAATAGTACAACTGGCTGTAAATGAGACTTACCAGCTAGTCTACTGATAATTCTGGAGGCTTCATCCCTAAAAATGAAGACATACACATTGTATAAGACGGTGGTTGTGTTCAGTTAGGTTTACTTTTAAAGCCACAGTACGTGCTGACCCATTCAGTGTTCATTCTTCAGTATTACTTACATAGATTTGTGCTTTTTTTGTTTTGCAATATACCTGTTTGAATCTGGTATTCCCAAGGTATAAACAGTGGTGATATCAGTAGGTGTCAGAGCATGAACTGGTGTTGGAAAAGCAAGGAAATGAAATGTCAGCAATCTCATAATGCAACACTAGAAAATATATTTAAAAGCAGACCTATTATAGAAGGATGAAAGTAGTGACTAAGCGCCTTCAGGCAACTGTTGTTGTGATTTGATGCTATAGAAATAAAATTGAATTTTAACTCAGTGCCGTCACTGATTATGTCTGCAGGGAGCATTACCTGAAGAAGATGGAGACAAGTGCGGTGGTAATGGTGAGCAAAGTATGGACATGTACATTTCCGTCTGAATCACATAAAAAAGTCTGTACATTAGTACATTACAAGAGCAATATACAGATGATAGTATAAAATATGAATGTGCAGACAAAAAGGTGTGATAACTGGCAAAAAGTACCTCTTCTGTTTTTACTTTTGTCTGGTCGCCACCTTCAACACCATCTAGATGGGACGTAAGTCAAAATTAACACGTTTAAATTTCTAAAATACTGAAATGAAACCAAACCCATGAAATTAATCAGTAGAAGTTAGGCGGTTTATAAAAGTTGAAAATCTTAAATTAAAGAGTTAATTAGGTTAAAAAATATTAGCAGGTAACAATAAAAAAGTTGCATTTTTCTTATTTTAATTTTGTAAAACTCTTTGAGATTTTTAGTGAATAATCAACTAAATTAATGTTTGCGCACTCCAAATCTAAGCCAGGTGGAGAGATGACTGATTGGCAAAAAAACTCATTATATTTATTTGAGTTCTACTTTATTTAAAACAGAAAGATAAAGTATTAGCTTTGCTGGGATAGCTAATACACTCTCTCTGAGTGCCCTCATAGATGCTTCTCAGATTTTAAAATTGCAACTTAACAAGACTTCTGTGTAATTTACTACATTTGCATTTTCAACCCAAACATTTTATACTCAGTGTATAAAGTGTACATCAGCAAACACGAGATAATTCTAGTATAAAACACAGCTTAAACACAAGGCACTCTGTAAAGGAAACAATGCTGTCAAACTGGTCAAATTAGGTAAATCATGCATGAGCCAGCAGTGACCGCTCAGTCAAAAGATCATTCTGATTTCAGCTCATGCTGTGCCTTCTTGCCCTTAAAATTCGCTACATAAGTGAGCACATTAAAGTAGTCCAACCTGTTCAGTACTTACCTGAATATGTCATGCATAATCCAACAAGGATAGCCACAATCAGGAGCGCAGCTCGAGCCATGATGTGGTCAGAGTGTTTTCCACGCTGGGGAATTTGTGCAGTTCTTCCTTATTTACCTTTGAGACTCAGAGAACGAAACACTCACTCGCTGTAAAAGTGCAGCATATCAATAAAGAGTGTGGAAAAGACCGGGATTCCAGAGAGAGCAAAGTTTTAAAAGGCAAAGAAGGGAGCCAGAGAGGAAACCCTGTCAAACAGAAAAGAAAAGAGTCCTCCCTGCTATGTTTGTCCTTTACACATCTGCTCTTATTCTCTTTTATAACCCCTTCTTATCAGTTTATCCAAATGACAATCGATCACATCTCTTTCTCTATCTCTACAGCTATAATTGTGCTGTGTCACCTATTGGGACACATAAATCAAAGGACCATGAAATGAGTATCAGTTTTTGGACTTCGAAGTCAGAGATTAAATACCTTTATATAACAATGACTGGCATATTAGTGAATCAACTGAATGAATAAAATCCATATGTCGTGATTTTAGGTAATTTTTTGTGTGTAATTTGCTTATTTTAAACCAAATAACTATTCTGAAGTTAAAATTTTACCAGTTTCTGTTCCATTATGTCATGGAAGGGGTTTGTGGACACAATGACACATCGTGAGGATCACATTAGTGATTCACAGTAAAACTCACGTGGGTGTAAAGACACAACTAAGAAAATTATTTGCAGGTTTATAGTTTTCTAGCTTTCAGGGATGATTTCTGTGTATTTTAAATATGCTGCCCCACAATTTATAGTTGGACTAATGCTTCACTTTGTCGGAAGACGGTTCTTAACCAATAATGATGAATGGGAGTTCCTGGTGTTGTATGTGTTTCACCCAGGTTATATAATTTTATGCTAACAACCAGCAAGTTCGCTTTTGGAGATGTTTTGAGATATGATTAGATTGCTAAATACTTTATGAGTTGTGTCCTTTGAGATGGCTGTGCAGATAGACCCGACCCTTGGAATCAGTGCAGGATAATCAATCAAGATATCTTGATGTTTTCGAGTTGTCAGGAGTTTTCCATCAAGCAAAACATTTTAGGTTTATAATGTTATGACATGTTGTATCAAAACAGGCATAAACAGCCAGGTTATAAATAAGGACAAACTGAATAACTAAGCAGAAAAAGATAAGAAACAGCTTCACTAGAGATCGGGACTTTTTTGATCTATGAAAAATGGAGCTAGTCCAGTTGACTGATATCTTACTTACACACACTACATATGTGTTACAACTGCTGATTTAAGGATGTTGCATTTTGGAGAGCCTGAAGGTGTATTGGGAAGGAGCTGAAAGAGCTAAGGTCTACAACTTCAACACAACTGCCTTCTTTTTTCATGTTCACCCAGTTCTCTCGCTGCTGCAGCTTCTCATATTCCATATCAGTGGAATATGGTAGCTATTGGATCTGCAGAAAAGTGTGACAAAGAAGGTGCTTAAGAAGTACAGCCTTGGAAAGACTCACAGCTTTGGCCAGCCGCTTGAAGAGATACACCAGAGAGATTGAAGGTGTTACAGAGTATAGCATGGTGGAAAAGGATGGAGAGAATCCCCCACTAAGCTTTTGGGTTGGCATTTCTTTAGATTTTGTTTTGTATTAATTGCATGCTTTGGTGTTTGTTTGTGTTTGATGTGAGGTGTGGGCCACACCCATGTGGGAGTGGAGATTCTACTCTAGTCCAGCTGCCAGCTATTTGGAGTTGAATACAGGGAGCAGCTGATTGGGGAGGATTGGAGCCCTTCTCTATAAAGGGGAGAGGAAACAGGAAGTAGGGGTTGTCGTTGTTTTTTTTAGTAGGACATTAGTGTAGCAGGGAAGCCTCGAAGATCCAGGATGAAGTGTGCACATTTTAATGGAAAAGATTTTTAACCTGGCCTGGTTTTGCTTTTAAAATAAACTGAGGATGTTGGAGGGAGGACTCATTCTTATTGGGATGTGAGTGGATGTGCTGGAAGGCAGGAAAACAAACACTGGACTGGAGACTCTCTGTGCCCCTGACAAGGAAACTGGACCAGTTTTGGGGAAGTTCCAGCTCCCAGGATGTGATCTGGAGACCCAGCCTCGAACGAAGTCAGGCCTGAAAAGGCTAACAACCCTGACCGCGGTGGCTTTGGGCCTTGGATTCCTGGCCAGAGTTGTGTCTTCAGCCAGTAGTTTTACCCGGAGAAAGAACAAATAAATCTTGTGTAACCCATTACAGTGTGCGTGTGGTGGTTCGTTACTGGTCAATATTAGAGCTACTACTTTCTTGTACGGAGGCCATTTTGGGCCTTACGTAACAAAGGCATGAGAATAAACCAGCTGTTCTCCACAGAATACTAAAAGAGCATATGGGAGAAGGACACAACCCAATACTCAGTGGATGGTGGATCTGAGAGCAGACCACAGCAACCACCCTGAACAGGGTCCAGTAGCCATCACAGTGGCAGACATCCAAGAAAGGGTCTCCAGTATGAAGAGTTGGACAGCACCAGGCGCCGACGTGGTTCACGCCTACTGGCTGAAGAAGCTGACTGCACTCCATGAGCGTATGGGAGGACAAATGAACCAGCTGCTAATTGACGAGAGACCCCCGGAATGGGCAGCACGGTGGCACGGTGGTTAGCACTGTTGCCGCACAGCAAGAAGGTCCTGAGTTCAATTCCACCATCAGGCCGGGGTCTTTCTGTGTGGAGTTTGCATGTTCTCCCCGTGTTTGCGTGGGTTCTCTCCGGGTACTCCGGCTTCCGTGTCCAAATTCATGGGCTGCATTCTCCTGAGGCCGCATTTGTAGACCGATTACGTCACAGCTACGCGCCGAAGGCTGTCCAAATTCGTAGACCCCTCCGAATGCAGCCGACAAATGCGTGCTCCTTTTTCCGAATTTGAAGGATGGGTCGGGTGTGTCCTTCGTGGCCCACCATATCCCAGAATTCATAGCGCGGCCCAGCCAAGCTCCAGTTTCCGGCTAATGGCGGCCGCTACTAAGTTTTAAAAATTACTCTTATTAATCTTTCTGGGTCACGAAATAAACTTTTAACATATTTTCAGGCGAGAAAGTAGCTGTGTAAACATCAAATATCTGCTCGGTTTATCAAGATATCGCATCTTTGCTAAAGTGCTTCGACGTTTTCGGAGACGTCTGCTACCCACCAGCTCGATAGCTAGCCGGGAGCTCGAGGGTTACTGATGCGGCCGAGAATGGCACAACTCCCGGCACATCATTTTCAGATCACCGCGGACTTTCGCTGCTCGGGTTAAACGTTGTCAGCCGGTGATCAGCTGTGATCAGCTGATCACGGGGCCGGGGTTAAAAGAGAGACGCCACCCACCTGTTCGCCGCTCAGACATCATTCTCTTCGTGTCAGGAGCTCCGAAACTCTGCCGACGTCAGTCTCCGCCTGATTCAGCAACCGTGAGTGATTATCCCTTCAATCCTTTTTCTCTTCCCGGCTCCGCTCGCTCTCTGTCGGTAACGACCGTTCCGAAGCCACGCATCGTGCACTGATCGTTACTAGAATAACTGCGTGCCTGCTCCAAACCCACCGCTAGCCTTCGCCGCGCTTGGGTCTAGCCAGCACGCCACACGGGCACGCCGAATTACTGTGTGTAACCCGCCCGGCCGTGACAAACGTAATATATAAGTCACTTAGACAACCTAAAAATGTTATTGTTGGGCTTTTTTCAGTGTTTTGTTTGTTCGTGAGTAAATCGGTTTGGCTGAGATTAAAGTTATTAGATAAAATAAAACTTTATTAATCCCCCGGGTGGGTTCCTCCTTGGTTTTTACACAGCTGACTAAACGTCAAACAGAAAACTGATTAAACAGAAGTGTGAGATGGCCGAGAGTTTACTCCAGTGTCCTGTTATATTTTAGACAGCAAGGAGCAGACGGCTGAGTTTATTAAACTCCACCGAGACAGCGGTGACGCTAATCAGAAGGCTAGACCGTCCAATTTCACGGCCGTTTACTTCCGGCCTACCCGATCTTCTGAGGACCCGGCCCACGTAGACCGCGAAGGCCGGGTCCTCAGGAGAATGCAGCCCATGAATTTGGACACGACCTAGGTGTGAATGTGCGAGTGAATGTGAGTGCGAATGGTTGTCTGTCCCTATGTGTTAGCCCTGCGACAGACTGGCGACCTGTCTGAGGTGTACCCTGCATCTCGCCCTATGACAGCTGGGATAGGCTCCAGCGCCCCCCATGACCCTGAAAAGGATAAGCGGAAGCGAATGGATGGATGGATGGACCCCCGGAATGGCTAACTGAAGGCGGGACAGTCCTGATGCTCAAGGACCCCCAGTACGGTCCGGTCCCATCCAAATACCGGCCAATAACCTGCCTCAGTACTACATGGAAGCTCCTGTTGGCTAAAATGAACAGGCACATGGGTCAATACGTAAGCGGGGCACAGAAAGGAATTGTCAAGAAAACCAGAGGCGCGAAACCTAGCAGTCAGCCAAGACTGCAAGACTAGGCTGACCAACCTGTGCACTGCCTGGATTGATTACAAGAAGGCCTATGACTCAATGCCCCACACCTGGATCCTGGAATGCCTACACCTATACAAGATCAACAGGACCCTAAGAGGCTTCATCAGGAACTGATGCACAATCCAGCACATAACAGCAGGGTGCAAGATGCAAGCAGGCAGGGCATACATTGAACGCCATTACCAAGTGGCCGGCATAGTGTACAGAAACATCTGTGCCGAATATAGCTTGGAAGTCCCGAGGTCAAAATGGGAGACGCCCCCAAGGGTGGTGGAGAATGGCCGAGCTAAGATCCTGTGGGACTTCCAGATACAGACGGACAAAATGGTGGTGGCTAACCAACCGGACATAGTGTGTCACGGTATTTTGAGTTTATTGTGTTTTGATTTAAGTTTGCATCAGGGATTGTGTTCTTGTTCTCTTGTCGTGTTATGGTGATGATTATGATGTCTATTATTAGAGTTCCATGTTTCTGTTTATCTGGGTTTAAGATGTGGGTTTAGTTTCATATGTCATTTCCTGTCTGTCTCTCGATG